GTACAGTTGTTGAATTTTTCTCCCTCATGAATCTATACTCAGTACTCCATAATGACAAAGTGAAAACAAAATTTTAGAAATATCTGTAAATTTATTAAATAGAAAAAAGGAAATATCACATTGGCGTAAGTATTCAGACCCCTTGCAACTTGAAATTTAGCTCAGGAGCCTCCCAGTTCTCTTGATCATTGCTGACATGTTTCTGTATCTTGTTTGGAGTCTATCTGTGGTAAATTAAATTGTTTGGATATGATTTGGAAAGCCACACACCTTTTTGCAGAAGGCTCACAGCTGACAATGCATACTGTGAGTGTAGCAGTGTAGCAGAGCAAAGCAATGTGGTCAAAGGAACTGCCTTCAAAATTCAGAGACAGGATTATTACAAGGCACAGATCTGAGGAAGGCTACAATAAAATTTCTGCTGCACTGAAGGTTCCTAAGAGCACAGTGGCCTCCATAATTCTCAAATGGAAGAGGTTTGGCACAACCAGAATTCTCCCAAGAACTGGTTTTCCTGTCAAATTGAGCAAAGTGGGAGAAGGATTTTAGTAAAAGAGGTAATAACAACCCAATGGTCACTCTGCCTGAGGTTCCAGATATCCTATGTGGAGATGGGACAGAGTTCCAGAAGGACAACCATCACTACAGCTATCCACCGATCTGGACTTTATGGCAGAGTGGCTAGATAGAAGCCTCTCCTCAGTACAAAACACATGAAAATCAGAATGGAGTTTGCAAAAAAGCACCTGAAGGACTCTCAAACTGGGAGGAACAAGATTCTCTGGTATGATAAAACCAAGATTGAACTGTCTGGCCACAATTCTAAACCAGGCACCGCTTATCGCATGTCTAATATCATCCCAATAGTGAAGCATGGTGGTGGCAGCATCATGCTGTGAGAGTGTTTTTCAGCAGCAGGGACTGGGGGACTGGTCAGGGTTGAGAGAAAGCTGAATGGAGCAAAGTACAGGGATATTTTCAATGAAAACTTGTTCCAAAATGCTCAGGATTTCAGACTGGGCCGAGAGGTTCACTTTCCAATATGACAATGATCCTAAACATACAGCCAAGACAACATAGGAATCCCTTACTCTGTGAATTTCTTAAGGTAGCCAAGCCAGAGTCCTGATTTGAACCTTATTGAACATCTCTGGAGGGATCTGAAAATGGCTATCCACCAACTGTCTCTATATTCAACCTGACTGAACTTGAAAGGATTTGCAAGGAAGAATGATAGAAAATCATGCAAAAACATGCAAAGCTTATTGCGTTGTACCCAAAAAGACTCAGGGCTGTAATTGCTGACAAAGTTGCTTCCACAAACAATTTTGAGTGAAGAGTCTGAATACTCATTCTAGTGTGATATTTCAGTTTGTTCTTTTTAATAAATTTCCAGAAAATTCTGTTTTCACTTTGTCATTATGGGGTACTGAGTGTAGATCAACAAGACAATGAATTTTAACAATTGTAGAAACTGTAGACTACAGCATAAACTAATTGACAAAAGTAAAGGGGGTCTGAATACTTTCTAAATGGTGTGTGTGTGTGTGTGTGTGTGTGTGTGTTTTGGTTGTTAAAGATCATATGTGGAAGGAGGACAGCCAAAGTCATTCTGGGTCTGAAGTCACATCTGTATAAACTAAATCAAATCCTTTTTTATTTAGAAATAATAACTAGTGTGAGGAATAATATAAAATTAGACAGGATGTGGAGAATGTCATTTACTTCCAGTTAATTTGGAGAAATTGTAAATGCTATCACAGGTGTGCCAGGAGAGTGCCACTGATATCTGACTTCATTTGGTCATTGCACATTTCAATAATAAAACAGGTCCCCATCAAAGAAAAATTATAAACTGATTTTTTTTTTAACCACAGAATATGAAAACAAGCAAAACTGCTCTTCTGCACACTGAAGCATCCATATCCCTATGCCCATGTACAGAATGGTGGAACAGGGCAGATAATTATAATAGATCAGTAGATCAGTAGATCTGAGTAGATTTTCATATACTCAACTTTTTTCAACATTAAAATGAGTAAATATTTTCTGTCTTCTGAAGAGGACCACCTGGCATTTCTGGGTGAAAGGATCTTGAACTTGATTCTGTTAAGATACTGAGAACAACTCCCAAGTTTAAAAAGCACCAAACAAATAGTTGCATTAGTTTATCTTTAATGGGTTTTGGAATGCTAGTGCAAATCCAAATCTGGCCCACTGTAAGTTCCCAAAGACTTTCTAAGGCTACAAGTCTACAAACCTTGACTGAATATGGGGGTTGTTAGGACAGGGACATTAGGCACATTGTTGGGCTTATGCACACTCCTTACAGACCTCTTATGAATGGGGTGAGATCTAAGGTTAAAGTTATGGGGGTTTGCGGAAGAAACCACTGAATTAGGAAACATATTCCCAGGCATTGACTGTTGCTGAAGTCCTATTTTCTTCAACTGAGTTTGGTAAGATTTACCTTAAGTTTATATCTATTGTGTGCTTGTGTATTGTTGTGGTTGAAGCTGAAGTAATCATTGATATACTGAATACAAAGCAAAATATTCAGCAACATTCACCCACCCCTTTGCCGGCAAATCTTCCATCCATGCACGATTCAAACGCTGGATTGCGATTAAAAACAGAAGGTTGTCAGACAAAACCATTAGTTCGCAGCAGCGCTCTGTGAATCTCCCGAAGTTTACGAGTGCTTCAGGAAAAGCTGCTAACCAAAGGCAGGACTATAGATCGCTCCCGTCAGCGCTCCTATGTACGAAGCTTATTATTATTATTATTATTATTATTATTATTATTATTATTATTATTATTATTATTATTATTATTATTAAAGAAGTTTCTCCCGCACAGCCAGCAACAAGGCCAAGCCGTTAGCACCGCGGAGCTTTCTCCTCTTTTGAGGTCAACACCCAGCTTTTATCCAGCGGGGTTGACCAGATACTTCGACCCTCCGCCAGGACCAGCCGTGTCCCTTACCCATTTTGGCGTTCGGGGCGGCTGGGCTGGGAGAGGCGCGACCGTCGCTCGGCTCTCCTCCCTTCTCCTCCGGCTCCGCTCTTCTTCCTTTCGCCCTCACAGCAGCCACCTCCGCCGCCGCCGCCTCCTCCTCCTCATACCAAAGCTTTTGCCCGGGTACCCGCTTCAGCCACCTCCGTCCCAAGGCCCGAAACAAGCGGCGGCTCCTCCTCCGCTCGCCTTCCGTCGATGAATCCCTACTTCTTCCTTCAGCGACAGAAACGCGCTGAAATTCTATGCAAGTCTCTTGCGCTCACGCACGCGCAGTTCCTCCGGTGGAAACTAAAGATTCGCTCGCGGCGCAAAAAGCACGCGTGCGCATTCTCTCAAAAAAGAGGCGGGGCTACTGAAATGTTCAGCTGCCAATTACTGTACTGTAGCAGGAGCGAGAGAGGGAACGTTTTGTCGATCGTGGCGTGATAGACAGGTAGTCATCCGGGCCTGCGGGAAACTCTTCTCGGTCACTTTGGGAATGATCTTCCAATGGTGCGGGAGTATGGACGGATTTCCAGAAAACGTGCAACCTATCCATCTTGCCTGATAAGATAGGCCATTAATTATTGATACTGATGTTTCTTATCATAGTTTTAGATTTAACTCCACCTTGATTTTATAAATAACTCAAAGTAGTGACCATACCTGACACTCATTCCTATTTCCCTCAAAGTAACTGTGTGAGATTAGTTTGACTGAAAGTAATTGGTCCAAAGTCACCCAGCTAATTTTTTCATGCTTATCACAGGACTAGAATTCAGTCTCCTTGCTTTCTAGCCTGGTGCCTTAACCAATAGTGGTTTTCAAGTGCTAAATTGATGCAAGATCACTTTTATATGCAGTATTAATCTAATGTTACTAAGGTTTTACTCAGTTTTGTATAGCGCATGATTTTATTTCTATTTTTCCTCCTTTATTTCTTTACTCTCTTGGTTCTGCTTTCCAATATATTTTAAAATAAAAAAATAAGCTGCAAATCTGAAAAAAAAGCAGTAGCAAGACCCAATCTACATAAACATTCCAAATTTGTTATGTGCAGGATAGGATAATGGTCCTGAAACTGTTTAATGGACACACACTGTGTGGCAGAACAGCATTTTAATGATGCTCTGTCAACTTTTCCCTTAGTATCTACTGTTTACCACCCTTGAGGAAAAAAACAATGTAGAATCCATTCAGTTCAGAATAGAGCTGGAAAGGACCTTGGAAGTCTTCTAGTCCAACCCCCTGCTCAAGCAGATCCTGTACCATTTGACAATTCTCTATGACTTAAGTATAATTCAAGTTGTAGCATCTTAATCCACCTTGGTACTATTTTTATTTTTTAGATTTATATCCCACCTTTACTGTTTTGGATATGCAGATATTTGGGAAATCCTTCATTACCAATCTACCCTTGTATTCATGTGGCAAAAATAAGTCAGAAGTATGCAATGATCACTAAGACATTGGTAATCTTGGAAACTCTTTTCTACCTGCTTCTGTTGGGGCTCTCCAAATGATTGTAAGATGGGTCTGATCTTTTTGTTGTTTAGGTTTTTAGCACATTTTTTTAAAAAAAAACTTTTATGCATGTATATCTCAATGCTAATAAAATTTGGCCTAAAAGGAGTCACAAGGACAGAATTTTTTTGAAGCTGGATTTTCTGGTAGAGATAAAATAACTCATCCACCCTAATTTTTTAACTGGATTGGTACTTCTCGGTTGGACTCCACCATAGCAAGTGCCTGTATTTTTTGTCTCAATTACCAATTTTAGTTTCAATCTTAATATGGTACTGGGTTGTCAAGAACAGCTCTATTTTTAATGTAAAAAAAAGCTTTACTAAAACTTCAACTTGAGGATCTTGACCTATTTCTGAATAGTTGTATGCTAATGTGTACTGTGTTCTATACTATCTTTTCCCCCCTGGCAACCAAATTTTCAGTAAATAAAATGGTTATATATATTTTAATGTCTTTTTTCATTTTATACCATCATGAATAATTTAGAAATGTTCCATTTTATTAAAACGTAAGAAAGGCAGAATTCACATAAGGAAGTAGGAATGGAACAAACCAAAATATGCAGAGGAAGCAATATTGACAATTTAAAAATTCCAGCATTCTACTTCAAACCCTTTAAAAAACTGTTTAAAATTTGTACAGAATGTCAATACAATTCAGAAATTGGTGTCCTAAATCAAGATAAAATCCATTTTATGTATTTTTCCATAAAAATCAAAATATTGCAATGTTAACCATTGTCTGCCACATAAAGATAAAATTAGTAACAATTTTGCCTAACAATATTTAGAAAAGATATGCAACACCTGGGAGTGGAACATAAATCAGTGCTATTGCTCATTGAAAGAACAAGAAGTTTGGAACTTTATATAGTCATGCTACAAATTTCACACCTTTAAGAAATCATCACACTGGGAGTACATAACATGTTACAGTTCAGAATTGGTAGTAAAAACAAAAGCCCATATTATTTAATATCCAGTACAATAAGAACATTGTTCCTTGTAAAACAGTTATCACAAATCCATATTTATCACTTGACCATCCAACACTGCCTGTTAGATCTGCATGTTTTGGCTCCTTCACTAGATACATCGTACACCCATGGTCTAAGATACATCTTATGCCCATGATGTATCAGTAAAGGAATTTATATATCAATTATATTTTCTCTCAGCTGTACTATACTCACATATTAGACAAATAATTAATAGTCTTGTCACAGTTGATCTTACTATATACATGATTGGTAGTTAAATCTGAAAAGATCTTTTCATACCTCCCTCAAGTTACTGTGGAAAAATGCTGTCTGATATGAAACAATGACCTCTTCTCTAAAATCTAAATAAGTTATTCTTTTGTGAAGGAGAAAGAATCAATCACAAATACACTCATTTTAGTGTATCAGAGAAGAGTTACCATACATATCGAAACAGCTTGATATGGGAATAAGAAGCAACATTCTAATATACACGAAATGCTTAAACATTTTGTTCTGTAAATTGCATGTATCTGATCATTTTTCATGTTTTCAGAAAAAAGCACCATCCCATATTAACATATATTCTCAACATTTTAGCATGTTTATAATAAGCTCTGCTGCCTTATGGAAAGATTTTTGTTTGTTTTGCATAATTGTATCACTGCTAAGAAAAACGATATAAAAACTGCTGTTGAAAGTTTAAAGCAAAACTTCTCAAGAAAATGCTCATCTATTAGAACAGTAAAAACCATTAGTTGCTGAAGTGTTTCCTACATTTTAGTAAATAATATGTTATAAGGGCCACCCACATATACAATTAAAACTAGATGCACTTTTGCTATCAGATACTAGGTATGCATCCAAATACCCAGTTTATACTTTGATTACTTTTGAAGAGTCTTTAGTTGTAGAGAAGTGACAACATATAGATGATTATCTAATGTAGCATATTAAATTAAAGCTTCAATTTGAGATATTTTTGCATGAGTCCTACAAGTCCTACAAAGGACAAGTCCTTGCTTATAGGCAAAGAACAATTTTAACAAAAGCAGAACTCAGTTGCATAGAAGCCATTACAACCAATAAGTATGATACCTCATAACTTGTATCAAAGAAATTGCCTGGAAAAAGGGAGGGAGAGAAAGAGAATATAATATTTAATAAAAGGTACTATTATAATGCGTATAACAATGAATAACTTTTAGGCATCTATAACAAATTATTTCAGGTAGAATATTAATTGGCATTCAGTGCCATTGCAATAAAAATGCTCAACACAAATGGCCATAATATATACATAACTTTAATTGAACATGTTGATAAAATCTGAGACGATCTAAAACACCAAGGATATCCCTGCATTTTTGAGTCATTGGCATGGAGTGGGGAAGGTAAGAGAGAGAAACGATGGGTAAGAAGTTCATCATATATACTCATTAACTTCAGTTGTAAGTCTTCCTGGAAGAAGTTAATAAGAGCTAGTGACACTGTTTCAATGCAGCTTTGTTCTTAACTTTAGAAGACTGAAAGACTACCATCCTGCTTCATTATTTCCCATAGCCTAATTATTTTTACACTCTCAGGATTTCTAGACAGTTGTTGTAACAGATAGCTATCCAGTCCGGCTGGGTTGATGCCCACTGTACATTGTTAATTTCTCCTTCTGCTGTGTAAGCCAAGATTGGGTCCTCAATGGCACGAGGCATTTGCTGAATATCCCAAATGAGAGCTTGATGGTCATCCGCTGTCAAAGGTGAAATATAGATTTAGTTTAAAAAAAATTCAGATAATTTATTTATCCATGTATTTCCAAGCTAGAAAGCCTTGAGTTGTGGGTGACATTACTATCAAATATGTGTGCTAGTATCTGGTTAATCTTGAAAAGTATTTTTTGGGTGGTTAGATATTTAAATATTTTTACAAGAGAAAATAATAGTAATTAAATTGCTTTGTAATAGTAACAGAGTTAAAATGGACTGTGGAGGTCATCTACTCCAACCCCCTGCTCATGCAGGAGACCTATACTAGGGATTTGAACTGCCGATGTTGACGTTTATGATCCTGCGTGGGCCAGATTAATGGCTTTGGTGGGCCAATGTGAGCCACAGGCCGTAGTTTAAGAACCCATGCACTAGAACATAAAGTGATAGCAAACTGCACTCCTTACTAGTATTGATGATGTTACCTAATTTGGGTATTGAAATATCTGCAAGAAAACAAGCTCAGAGAGCACCAAGGACCCGTCATGTCAACCCTGAGCTACAAATATTCTCCTTTATTATTGTTGGTTTACAAGGTAGACCCTCTATCAGGACACTAGCTTGCAGAGAATAGTATTAGCATGCTGGAGTAAAATGACCTTTGATTGTACCCTAGGCATTCTACCCCAAATACTGTATGTCAAAATTGATCAGTATTTTCCTTATTGTTATGTAGGAATATTGCATTCTGCATTAGTAAGGCTGGTAAGATAATCTATACCCACATTATTTTGCTTTATATGAAAGTTATGAGAGCCAAAGTCACCATTGAAAGTGAAAATCAATATATATATAGGCACTTTAAATGATGCTCATGATATATAGAAGACTGCAAAGTAGAATATAAAATGAATAGGTTTGGAAGTTTGGAAGTTTATTAGCATTTGTATGCCGCCCACTCCCAGGGGACTCTGGGCGGCTTACAGACAACAAGGGAATATAAAAAATTAANTCTTGTTTATTCCAGCAAAGGCGAAGCAAAGGATGATGCTGAGGATCCTCATAGATAATAGTGCTATGTTCCAAGTGCCTTAAGTCAAACATCCTCACTGAGCCATCAGCACCAACAGAAGCAAACATGTCTCTCCCACCTCCGGCACGGCTGAATGCAATATCATAAACCTGTTCAGATACCAATAGCAAAAAAGTGGTAAAATATGATGCTTCCCATACAGTGTCCTCACTGTATATTTTTCATGCAAAGGCAGGAGTAAAGAAGGTATATCCAACAAATTATTTGCTTTAGCTTAAAAAAGGACAATGCTTACCACAAAATAGGGCTTTAGGCATAACACTCCTTGTGAGCAGAATGTTTCTTTTGCAAAATATTTTACTTTGTTCTACTGATTCCCCATTTTCAATGAATTACTAAAAGGAAAATAAATGTATTACTAATAGCAGCAACACAACCCACCTTGGCTCCTAGTTGATTATTTCCAATGTATAGGTTGTATTTTCTAAACTTTTAGTAACTGCACATATTTACAGAAAAATAAAAATAATACACCATCACCTCTTTGTCATGGGCAATCAACTGAGTCTTGACATGGCCAGACACTAAATTCACTCTTCCCAACACCTGGCCAGTTTCCAAACCCCAGATAGTACAAGTTGTGTCAATGCTAGAAGTACCTGGCATAGTTTGAGAGGAAAGGGGGGGAAAAACATACATTAGAACTATTTTTTCTTAAAATAGCAATAAAATACAATACAAATATGGACCATTACATAAAATTTCTAATCCTAGACCTCAAGAAGTGAACCTCTATCGCCTTAATTTATAGAAAGAAATCTCACTGTATCTGTTAACTATTTTGTAAAATATTATTATAATCTTTGGATCCTCTATGGCAGTCAAAATGTTTAAATCAAACTATCAAGTTTTTTAAAAATGTATTTTTCTATATTGTGATTAATCAAAATTCTATTTATTACTATGGGACTATGACTGCCTATATGATCAAAATATTTGACCTGAAGTAATATGCATTAATAAAAGTAAATGTTAATCAACAATAATCTATAACATAATAAAATTACATATATTCATTTTATGNACAGACCTGGCATTTAGCAACAGCAGCCTGAGACCATGGTAAAGAGGGTTAGTTAAGGAAGTAAAGAAAAATATGTTGCGTCCCTATAAAACTTAACAAAGAGGAAATACAAAAGATCTGAAAGAAGGTGAAATATTTTTTTAGAGGACAATTAATCAATACAAGCAGAGAAGTGAAACTATAGAGTTAATTTAAATTTATAAGATTATCATGTTGTGGGAGTGCATAAAGTAGGAATCCATTGCTTGGTGATAGTTCCATGTTATGCTCTACTAAATGTTGATAATAAAAACACCAAGGATGAGATTTAGGGGAAAAAATGAAACACAGTGAATGAATGTTATTCAAGGGAAAAATAATTATGTTAGGTGATATAAAATGAGTAAGTTGGAGTCAGTAACTGTGAAATTACTCATTGTGAAAGCATCTGACCACCTGAGCATATGAGCAAAAAAGGAGTAATAAAAACATCAGTAGTTCAAAAACATCAGTAGTTCATCCTTGGTAAGTGCTTGTACGATTGTATTTTTATTTTTAGGATGTCTGGATTAGTTCAGTGCAACACTTGTTGCCGATTGTCCAGAATGTTCAGTTTGTGCTCTTCAGGCTGAAATTAGGTGGCCAACTCAGCTGGTGTGTTCTGTTGAACTGCCCCACTATCATCCCCTCTTTCACAAAGACCCTTCAGGAGAAAGGCCATATGGAGAACTGTGGGGTCAGAATGAGAGATGCAGTCCATAAACATGATGCTTTTGGTATGGCCCTGCAGTTATAGTGTGCTTAAGTTAACAGGAGTACTAAGATGGCAAGTTCAGCTGTTTGTGATGATGATAATTTAATTGAGTAGAGAATTGTGGTCTGTGAAAAAGAAATTGCTTGGACAAGGGAAAGTTTGCATCAGGTGTGGCAAATCAGTCATGTGTGGTGACTAAAGTATCTAAAAAGAAGTCATCTTCTGGTTAGTGACTCAATTCTAAGCAATGTCTATTTAGGAAAATATATGGAAGTATTGAAGGTGCTGAAGTATCAGTATGGTGCTACTGCCAGAAGAGAAAACAGGTGCATTGTTAAACTTGTCAAGAATGACAAGAAGTGTCAAGAAGTGATTGTGATGTTGATATTGTGCATCTTGACATTGTTCTGTCCAGAAAAGATGTGTTTTCTGTATAGAAAGATTTCCAGAGTTTGGGCAGTAGCTTAGCAGGACAGACTGTAGTCTTATTTTTTTCAGACTATTTTTTTTACCTGTATATAAGGAACAAGAGGGAAAAGTTCAGTGTATAGTGAATTCAATGTGTGGCTAAAAGTGTGGTGTTAGTCATGATGGTTGTGGCTAATCTGATGTAAAGATGGATAAAAGGAATCATAAAAAGGAACTGAGCTCCTTAGCATTAAATTCAGGGGTTTTCTAAAGAAAACTTGAAGGGAGCATAACGTGACAGGAGTCAGGGCTCAGTGCACACTAATAATATGAGTCTCTATGTCAGGCAGATTAGTAAAAGCAAAAGGAAGAGAATCACTGGTTCACAGCAGATGTATATAGGATACTAAAGGAGAAAAGAATAAGCATATAGTACATACTGTACATGGCACAAAAATAATTGATAGTGAGGTTTATAATATCTACAGAAGGAAACCAACCAAATTAGTACTGCTAAAGAGCAGAAAGAGGAGAACTGGGAGGATGTCTCCCAAGATGGTATCACGCTTTTTCTCCTGCCAAATAACTGATTTCATTGCCAAAGCTGATTATTGAAGAGACTAGGAAGAAAGGACTCAAGAAGATCTTTGGACTATTGGAGCTACAGGGAAGAGAAGATCTTGAAGACTGCAGTTCTCAATAAGAAGCAATCAGAAGGTTGGGTCTCTTACCATCTTCTCTCTTCGGCTGTTCGTTTTTCTTAAACATGTCTGGGTTTTAAAGTTTTATTATCTTTTCATTTATGACTAATTGCTCATCTACCTTGCTGGATTTTTACAACTTTTTCTTTTCCTGTTCTTTCATTGTTTGCTATTGAATTCCAAGCTACTTTCATTTTTACCATAATGAAGTCCATGAATAACACAACTGAAATAAACACAGGACAATATCCAAAGCAGAAAATTACAGTTGGACTTGATTTTAATTGGAATTTGATCTGTTGCTTCAGATGTGAAGAAGAAATACAGTACTTAGTTTGAAAATTATAGATTTTCCAAAAAAGATTGAAAAGAATATGAATGTAAGTAATACATGTAAGAGGTAATGGAATTGATGAAAGATGAACTAGACTTTCTAGGCATTTTTCTGCCATCAGTTTTCTATGTTTCTATGTTTCTTACTGAAAATTGACAATTCGGGGACTCAGGATTAATGAGAACAGGACCTGATGAATATTTCCTTAGGAAAAACTGTTGGTTCAAATAGGTGGTTTAAAGTATAAATCTTCTAACATATACATATGATAAAGAAATGAATTAAAAAGCATGATTGATTTGATTGTTTATGATGGACTGAATTAGTGAAAGAAACAAGGATAAGTTCTGAATGTGGAACAGCTCATTAAAGTCGATGGTGAATGTTGGAAAAATTATATGACAGAAATAAGAAATAAAACCTAGAGTGAATCTGTCTGTCTGCCTGCCTGTCTATCGAAAAATGTAAAGCCTAAAGTAGAATGACAACAATTTCAAAAGACAATGAAATTATTAGGATGAAATTGTAGTAAAAGAAGGGATGCTTAAAAGATGTTTATATGAATGAAAGTGATATGTCAAAGAAGGAATTTGAAACAAATGTTATAATAGTAAGTGTTCAAGAAATGATGAAAACAAAGTAAGTCAAAATTGTGAGAATGCTGAATTATGTTAAGATTGTAATTGTAGATGGCATCAGTAGAATATATTATAATACAGATAGTCCTCGACTTACAACCATTCATTTAGCAACGATTTAGTTACAATGATGAAACTGATGGAAAAAGTGACTTGTAACTGATCACCAGCATCCTGGTAGCATCACCCACAAGCGCTCACCTGATCAAAATTTGGCTGCTTGACAATTGGCATGCATTTAAAATAATTGCAGCATCCCACAATCATGGGATCACCATTTGCAACCTTTGCAGCCAGCTTTTGAGAAGCAAAGTCAAAGAGGGAAGCTGAATTCACTTAACATCCAAATGATTCATTTAACAATTGCAGTGATTTGCTTAAAAATTGTAGAAAACAGTTTGTAAAATTGGGTGTTAGCCACTTAACAATGGCCTTGCTTAGCAATATAAATTCTTGTCTCAATTTTGGTTCTAAGTTGAAGATTATGCAGATATTTTGCTTATGGTGTTGCCATATGATTTGTTTAATTTGTACATGAAGACTACATCTAGGCCTAATTACTGGAAGAATGTCATTATTACTCCTTTATGTAAAAGAAAAGACCAAGCATGAATGCCATCTACAAAGAAATTAATTTGTTGAGTGTGCTCAGGGAAGGAATTAAATCTGATTGTAAAAGTACAAGAGATCACAATAATCAAAAACTAGGAAGTATAGGTGCAAGCATTGTGCCAAACACAGAATATGCATTTTCAAGTCAGGTGAATAAATCAAGGCAAAGGTGAAAACCAAGAAAGCTGTGGCTGAATAGAGTTAATGATTTACAAAAACAAGAGTTGAAGAAATTTACAATAAGAGTTATGTATGTGGGGAAGCAAGGAGTTGAAATGCCATCAACAAAATTATGCTTAGATATATTTCATTTTTGTCTTATCTCATGCCTTTGATTTCTTTGGTGTATTATTTATTAGCCTTCAAATTATATACAAGAATGTAAATACTGCAATCCTATGTTCACATATTTAAAAATGATAGTAAATCCCAATCACTTCTTAAATGTCCAAAGAGGGGAGGAATACAAACAATAAATTTTTACCTGCTGTACAGATATGGCAAGAAGAATGTGGAGCCCAAGCAATACCATTTACACATGCTCGATGATTGTTCAGCCTGGCAACAGGTGTACAAGGAACTCTGACATCTAGAATCACCACCTTAGAAAAAAAATAATTCTAAACATTAATTCTAAATTAATTATTTTAGATTTTATTTTTATCCGTTCATTACTTAGTCTTTTATGTGCTCAGAGCTTTCACACTGTAAACAAGCTGTCAAGTCAACGTATTTATTCCAAGTGATGGAAAAGTGCATTTTTTCTAATAATGAATATAAATATCTCACAATATCTCCTGATTATAGACACCTTCTACAAAGAAGTTTAGATCAGGGGTCACCAACCTTTCGGACCTCAGGGATCACTAAATTAATAATTTTAAATCATGCGGTCCACTAATATGATTTGCCTAATGACCGGATGGGTGGGTGTGACCAACTCGATGTTGCTCACATCGAGGGGTGCCTTGCGGGCCTCTACTCGCCCCTCCCAGCCACTTCTTGCCTGCCCACCCAGGCTCCTTAGGGCCCCAAAAGGAAACAGTTGTTGGAGCTAAGCAACTACCACAAGAAAGAGTTGGCAAAACAGATGGCTTATTTGAAATTAGATCTGACCGAGAAGGAGGCTCAGCAGAAGCACCTCACTGAGGACTACGAGCATAGGCTTTCCAAGCAGAGGGAAGACCTGTGGGAGTGCGTAAGGCCAGCTACTAGTGCCTGGAGGCTACTCAGGCTGAAATGGTTAGCCAGTTCCAGGCCATGATGCTGTCCCACTGGAACAAGTCCCTCTGGCTCTTCACCACCAGCGGCACTTCCCTCCAGCCTTTGCCTAAAGCCCCGCACCAGGAGGCTGAAGCAGGCCCAAGTCAGAATTTCTGCCCCTTCTGCCCCACACAAAAAGACCCAGAAGGGGGAAACTCTTTGCAACACAAACATTCATTGCACGTACCCAGCCCACGGGCTGTAGTTTGAGGACCCAATTTAGTGCAATATAAAAAATGTAAATATTTTTTCTGTGGACCAGTAGTTCATGGATCACCAGTGGTGACTGCTGGTCTAGATAA